CAAACTGCTAGGTTGGCAGGAGCAGGGACCGAGCAACGGGAGCTCACCCTGTCGTAGGGATTCGAACCGCTGACCTTCTGATTGGCAAGTCCTAGGCTCTGTGGTTTAACCCACAGCGCCACCCGCGTCCCCAGGTGCAGCCCCTACCTGGAAGTAAACCCCATGGAACTCAGTGAGGCTTACTGCTGAGTAGCATGTATGGGACTGCACTGTCAATTAGTTTGGATCCACACTAAGTCATGCTTGGATCCACTGACATCCATGGCACGGCACAGATCCAACTCAAAGCATTTCCCCTCCCTGCCATTGTCCTCTTGGAGAAGGATGTCAGCTGCTGCTTCACCACAGCCTCTGTGGGTGGGTTCTAGGATGTCCCACCCACAAACGTGATCACAAACTTGCCGTCACAGCCAAAAGTGCCTTGTGTATAACAAGTTGTGGGTAAAAACTGGGTCCTTAGTTCCTCCATCTGCAGCCCCTGCTTGGATGGAAGTACCTGGAATGGGGTTGATGCTTTCATCCCATGGTGGGACAAATCTGGCCAACTCAGACTTAAATCTCCACCGAACTTCCAGTGGTGGCAGATGGTGCTCTTGTCTCCCATCAGGGAGAGCTGCCTCCTTTGTCATCACAGAACATTTGTTTGTTCTAAACTGCATGGCATTAGCAGAATGTGCAAAGAGGAAGACATATGCGCGCGCGCACACAGTTTCACGGAGAAAGCAGCTACAGAAGGGAGCTCCTCACTTGGACAGCTTCCATGCTGTAGTTTCTGCAACATGCCAGTTAATCCAGCACTGGTGCTTAATTACTATTCCAGCTGTTGCTGTCTGCTGCTTAGAAGATACCCCTAAGGAAGAGATGAGGATGCAATGGTTGATGAAGGGAATAAGATTTCTGCAACTTACCATGAAGCCCTGAGGACCCTTGGGTCCCTGGATTCCTTTGAACCCGGTATCTCCAGGGGGTCCCTGTTGGTATAAAAGATGGGTGTGGATTCCAGAAGGAACTTGGGTGGGCACGTATGTGTTGTTCGAAAACAGGACATGCACCCCCCAAATAATATAAAAGACATGAATTTGCATAAAATCTGCATATTTTAAATACCGTATTTTTCACTCTATAAGACACACCAGACCACAAGACACACCTAGTTTTTGGAGGAGGAAAACAAGAAAAAAAATATTCTGAATCTCAGAAGCCATAACAGCAAGAGGGATCGCTGCGCAGTGAAAGCAGCAATCCCTCCTGCTGTTCTGGCTTCTGGGATAGCTGCGCAGCCTGCATTCGCTCCATAAGACGCACACACATTTCCCCTTACTTTTTAGGAGGGAAAAAGTGAGTCTTATAGAGCAAAAAATACGGTACATAAGAAGAGCCTGCTGGTCAATTGTTCATCCAGTTCAACATCTTGTTCTCACAGTACGTGCATAAAGCTCAAAACAGGTTAGTGCCCTAGCACTTGAAGCATCACCAAGTGTTATGGTCTGCAGCAGAGACCCTGACTTGTGGTGCCCTTGGGGAATATGGCTTTGGGAAGTATTCTTCATCACAGGAGACAGGACCTTCTCCTTAGTGACACCCCAGCTATGAAACTTCCTTCCTGCATACATCAGATTATCTCCCATGCTATGTTTATTCCACTTTAAGCCCTACTCATTCCAGCCAACCTTTGGAGCATAAAAGACGCGCACACCCATCTGTATAATATAAAATGCTGATTATTGAAGGAGAACTTTCTACTATTGTTCTCTTTTTGCTTTCAATGCTGCATTTTTAGAGTTAGCTGCCCTGGGCTTTTAAAGGAGCAAAAGTGAGGGGAAAGGAAATATCAACAACTATCAACATCAAGAACTGTGCTGGGGTATAGCCAGCTCCGGAATGAACAGGGGCAGCTCTATACATCACCCCTACAGGTGAAGCACTCAAAAATTCCCATACAGGATCTGAAAAAACAAGTTTCTGCTACTCAGCATTAATTCACAGAATTGTAGAGTTGGAAGGGACTCGTAGGGTCACCCAGTCCAACCACCTGCAATGCAGGAATCACAGCTAATTCTTTCAAAAGCATGAGAAGACCTATCTGTTCTCTGTTGGTTGCCTACCTAAGGGGACCTTTAATGTTGCCCCAGCCATGCCAAATAAATTTTTTATTGTGTGAAGTTCAAGCACAGCTGGGGTAGCGCTCAAATGAGCTGATCCCATGGAGAGGGGTCAAAGTCATGGATCTCCCAACAGATCAGCACCTCTCCTCCTAGTGGCATGGCAGGTCCTGGGTAACTGGCTTCTGCCAAGGTGGCTGGGTCAGGTAGATGTTAAGTCAACTGCTCAGCAACTGCTCATTCAAAAGCAGGGCGAAAGCAACACTTCCCTCAGTGAAAGTGTAAGCTTCAGTGATATGTTATTTATATGCACAGTGATCTCACCTTTGGCCCAAACAGCCCAGCAATCCCTGGAAATCCTGATTCACCGAAGTCTCCCTGGAAGTTTAAAAACAAAAAAGAGATGAAAGGAAGTGTTCAAGAAGCCCAAGTTTAAAGGGCAAAGGAGGAGCAACTATGAGCTAAACTGTGCTTACAGAGGGAGGAAGATTAAAAATCCAGGTTGGTTGGTTTGCTTTGCAAATTTAGCAAGAGGTGGGAAGCATCTTCTTAAGCATAAATTTTGCATGGCCTGGTGCAGGACTAGATAAATTGTTAAGTTTTTAAGAAGTACCCGGCAGGATCAGGTCAAGGTATCAATCTAGTCTAGCAGCCTGTTTTCCACAATAGCCAAAGCAAGGCACATACTAAATATCTCCAGCAACTGGCTTTTCCTGGTATACTGCTTCTAAACCTTGAAGTTCCATTTACCCTTTGGCACAGGCAGCAGCTGAGAATGCTCCTGTTTTTAGATTCACACCTTTCCCTGCAGTATGCAGTATAGGTGCATTTACACCATGTATTTGAAGCACGCACATCAGCAAATAATCATGGGAACTGTAGTTTTTTTAAAAGGGTCATGGGAACTGTAGCTTTCTTAGGGTGTGCTTTAGATGTATGGTTATGTAGACATCTCATGTAAACGTTTTCAAAGCTACAACCAATCAACACACATCTTGGTCCAGCACCCAGTGCTTTTTTTCTGGGGGTACTCAAGGTTACAAAGTGGGCAGGCAAGGAAGAGTTTTTATATCTTAAAGGTCCCTTAAAGGGACCCCTGACCTTTAGGTTCAGTCACGGATGACTCTGGGGTTGCGGCGCTCATCTCGCTTTATTGGCCAAGGGAGCCAGCGTACATCTTCCGGGTCATGTGCCCAGCATGACTAAGCCGCTTCTGGTGAACCAGAGCAGCACACGGAAACGCCGTTTACCTTCCCGCTGGAGCGGTACCTATTTATCTACTTGCACTTTGACGTGCTTTCAAACTGCTAGGTTGGCAGGAGCAGGGACCGAGCAATGGGAGCTCACCCCGTCGCGGGGATTCGAACCGCGACCTTCTGATCGGCAAGTCCTAGGCTCTGTGGTTTAACCCACAGTGCCACCTGCATCCCTTTTTAAATCTTACATTGTCTTTAAATGCATTTCTAAGCTGCTTAATATTTTGCAGGTGGTGTACACTATGTTTGATATAAAAACAGTATGAGTTAAAAGAAAAATACAACCTAAAACCAACAAAACAATATAAACCCCACATGTACATAAAACAGAGTTTCAGAGGATTCACACACATGAACCAGGGTCCAATCTTATGGGTCAGGGAAAGCCTGGCCAGAAAGTTACATCTTCAAAAGACAACTGAAGAAACTGATGGTTGAAATCCTACAAATGGTGCAATTTTGTTGGGTTGAAGCAAAATTCAGCATCAGATTCATTGGGTCAGATTCAATGGGTCAGCATCAGATTCATCCCCCATTAGCAGTGGGGGAAGCCCCTTTCTGTATTTATTTTTCATTGCTGCCGCAGGTAATGACAGCAACAGCTGTACCAGGGCCGCCATTTTCTTTCCCTCACCATGCCCTAGCATCCTTCCAGATCATTGTGTGTGCAGGGGAGGGCAGGGCAGGGGACGAGGGCTACCAAAGGAGACTGACTTTTCTGGTGACAATTACACACACACACACACACACACACACACAGCACAAGAACAACACTTTGCATGAAATATTATGGGGAAAACAAAACAGGGGGCCAGGCTGCCAAGGGAAAGTGCTGTTGCTGCTTCCTGTGGTGGGGGCAAAATATATTTTTTTTAAAAGCAAAAGAATGAAGCCACGGCCTCTACTACTAACCGCAGACACCCACGAACCTGGACGAAAATTTTGTTTGCCCTGAAGATAGTGGTGAAATCCCCCAAATTCTAATCATGTGCTAAAAATAATTCGACACCCACTGGGAAACCCTGCCTGCCCACTTTGGTGTCTGACTCTGCAACATGTGCGCCTGCGTTCTGAAGGTTTGTGACACAGAGAGAGCACTGCCAGAAGTCAGTATTAAGTGCAAAGCAGACAAACATTTCCAAGCAAAACACAGCCTACATTCTCTATCCGCAGGACACAGTTTTACATCTGACCTTTGCACAAGAATATGGGAAAGTCTGCTGGAACGTTTGAGGGGAAGTGGGGGCCAAACGACCCTAAATGAGTCACAGAAATAGCGAGGTGGAAAAACTCTTTTATGGCCTGTGAAGTCTTCAGCATCAGCTGCTGCGCTCCACGGATTATTCCAAGGGGGCTTGTTCAGCCTGGTTGTAAATGACTCAGAAGCCCAGGGTTTCCACCATTTCTGCTGAAAAACTGTTCCAGAGTCCTAACATCCTTTGGCATTTGGGAAACTTTTCTTGCCATGTTCTTGAGACATGCTTTGGCAAGGCAAGGCCTGTTTCGAAGCTAAGAAGTTGTGAGTGACTTTCCAAAGGATCCATAAATGAGAGAAAATTAAAGTAGCAAAACTGTTTTTTTAAATTTCAGGTAGGTAGCTGTGTTGGTCTGACACAGTCGAAATAAATAATAATAAAAAAATTGTCCAGTAGCACATTAGAGACCAACTAAGTTTGTTCTGGGTATAAACTTCTGTGTGCATTCAGGACAAACTTAGTTGGTCTCTAGGGTGCTACTGGACAATTTTTTAATTTATTTTCTTTAAAGCCCTGAAAAAGCACTACTATTTCTTTTTTTAAGCATCTTGAAAAGGAAATTATTTTCAGGAGGTAGCCGTCTTGTGTCACCTTAAAAATGAACACGTGTAACTAACACACAAGTTTTTGTGGACTAGAAGTATACAGTGTGTTGGTACAAGTGGTGGAAAGAGAGGGGGGAAGGGTAAACAATGAGGTCAGAGAAATAGGAAAAGCAGAAGGTACAGGCTTTGGAACTTGAATGCATGTAAAAACATCACAATGCACAAAACGGCACGGATGAAAACATAAACATCCTTGCATTAGCATGCTAATTAACATCTGTAGTAGTGGGACAAACAGCCGCTATTGTCACTCAGATCACAGGTGACAGAACTGAAATTCTTAATAAGCCTTAGACACATGAGGTTGGAGCCAAACTTGATCATGCTTAAGAGCAGACCTGCTGTGATAAACAAAACTTAAAAGAGTCGTCATGACTAGCTTAGCATGCTGTAAGCATGACTGAAGCCCTTTTCAGATGTAACATCTTTGTCTTACACATAAAAGGAAGGCTGCAGGGAGAAGCATTCTAGTCTTGTCCCTTCGTGAGCTGGATGGCAATCTTCTTAAGTGGCGAGTGTCCATTGCATATCAAGGCTCCCCAATGCATTTCAGAACCCTGGAAAATGAGGCCCTGAAATTCTTGTGGAAGAAGCCACAGCTCAGTGGTACAGAATCTGCTTTACATGCAGAGGATCCTGTGTTCAATTGCTGGAATCCTCAGGCAGGGCTGGGAGAAACTCCTGGAGGGCTGCTGCCAGTCAGTGCAGGTCGTGCTAGGTGAGATGGGCAATATAAGGCAGCTTCCTACAGTCACAGTGCAGTCACAGAGGCCATGATGAGGACTAGAGGCTCTCTCCTTCGGTCGCCATTCCAACTCATGGAAGGCAATGAAAACAGCAAGAGGGTGTGTGTGGATGAGTGCATTTGTCTCCACCACCGCCTCCAGCCCCCAACTGAACACAAAGACAGAACACCCAAAGAGGACTTTTGGCTGGATTGAACCCAGTGTTCACTTGAAGGAGGGCAAGTGGTATGTCCTTCCTTTTCCTTTCCAGCTCTTTGTGAAATAGTTCAGCTTATTCTGAGCCAACGTGGAGGTGGCAGGCAATCTGGGGCCACCAGAGGTAGGGCCGATTTGTTCTGTTTCCACCCCTCCTTCCCTGAAAAGACACCCCTCCCACCATGGTTTCTTCCTAAAATGGCTGCAGTCAACCAGAAAAAGGAGACAAAGGGAAAACTGATTGGTCCAATCTGTCCTACTCCATGATTAGTCTGAACTCTCTCCCTCTTTGCCTTGTTTCTGGCTGAAAATAAAGGTAAAGGGACCCCGGACCATTAGGTGTAGTCACGGATGACTCTGCGGTTGCGGTGCTCATCTCACTTTATTGGCCGGGGGAGCTGGCATACAGCTTCCTGGTCATGTGGCTAGCATGACTAAGCTGCTTCTGGCAAACCAGAGCAGTGCACGGAAACGCTGTTCACCTTCCCGCCGGAGAAGAATGACCTATTTATCTACTTGCACTTCATGCTTTCAAGCTGCTAGGTTGGCATGAGCAGGGACCGAGAAACGGGCGCTTACCCTGTCACAGGGATTCAAACCACCGACCTTCTGATCAGTGCAAACAAGTACGGAAGTGGCAAACTCTGGCTGTTTGGATAGCTGAATCAGCTATCTGTGCAGTGAGGTTTGGGCCTAATTCTTTGTGTTCAGATAACTGAATTTGCAGATAAGGAGCATTCTGATAGCAGGACCTATGTGAGTCATTTAAATTCCTTGGCCCAAGAATGAGAGCGCTTAAGAAGAATGACACATCTACTTACCAGCTGCCCCTTTGGTCCTGCCTCACCAGGGGGTCCAGGAAGGCCCATCCCACCTTGGTGGCCTCGTTTCCCTAAAGGGCCAGCCTGCCCAGGCAACCCCTGTTCTCCCTAAAAAGCAATGGAGAGTGTCAATATCATTCAATGGAAAAAACTGTTCACTGTATACCACACAATGGCACAGGTGGCTAAGCTCCTGGCAGTACTGCGGCTAAATCTGATGACTTGAAGCACCTACACTAGAATCAAAGAATCACTGAGTTGGAAGGAACCCCCAAAGGGCATCTAGCTCAAACTCCTGCAATGCAAGAATTTCAACTAAAGAATCCCCAACAGGCGGCCTGAGGGAGGAGTGGTGGAATGCCCCATTCCCAGTTACAGAAATAATTCCAGGCACTCACACACTGCTGACTTCATTTGAATCCAGCACCTACAAAGTTAACTTCTTGAGAACCGGAAAGAATGCATGCTGTCTGAAGACATTTTGGTTGGCCTTCTAATGGTATGGCCATAATGTGGATTTTGATTCTTTCCTGCACTTATTGGCCAACAAAGTTGACTTCTTTTGCTGTGTGTGTGTGTGTGTGTGTGTGTAATGGAAATTATGTCTCTGATCTTGCCACACACCCTGAACTTTTGACAAGCAGTTTGTCAGAAAATAGGCACTTTCCCTGGTAAGCCAGGAAAACTAGGAGAAAAGAGATGTGTCAAGAGGCATAGCACTCTTGTGTCACACTTGACTGTCAGCCTGTTATTCTAGCTGCCGCCATTAGGGGGCAGCAACTGCCAACTGAAAAGTACCACATTAACAAAAGGATAATTGATCCCTTATTCACCCCACTCCCAGCCTCTCTTAAAAAATAAGCAAGCGAACAAACGAACAAACCAATAGGAACTGTGCATTTATTGCATTAGAGCTGCAAATCTTGAAACCTCTGGCTTTCAGGACATGGAAAGATTGGGTAACTTAAGGGAAAGGCTGTAGCTTGATGGTGCAGTACTTGCTTTGCACCCAGAAGGTTCCAGGTTCAATCCTGGCACTTCCAGGTAAGGCTGGAAAAGACTCTTGTATGAAACTCTTGTGGAGCATTGCTGCTGGTCAGTGTAGACGATGCTGTGTTAGATGGCCTGGCATGGTACAAAACAGTTCTCTCTGTTGCCATTTGATTCTGCCGCTTTATTGAGAACCATGAGGACCGGGAGCTTAACTTTATTTTAAAGTGAAGGTTGATAGATAGCCCAGTAATAGTAAAACATCCTGTGCATGCAAAAAGGACACAGGTTCAACTCCAGGAATTCCCCAGGTAGGCCAGGGAAGACTCTTCCCTGAACCACTAGGCAACCACACTGGTGGGGGGGAGGGCAAGGAGGGAATATAAAATGCAGCGAGAAGAGATAACTCAATGCCAGTGTGTCAGGTGGGTTCTGGAGAAGGCAGATATCAAATTCACTCTCTCTATCAAACACCAGACTGGGCACCAGCTGAGGCAGGAGTCTGCTCAGGTTGCATGAAGTGAAGCCGAACTAGGAAAAGTGCATCCAGTTATGGAACTCTTTTCCCATTGAGAGGAGGCTGGCACACTCTGCAATGTGCTTCAGGCGCCAACTTGAAACTTATCTGTTCTTGAAAGCCTTCTCTTGAAAATGAACGATACTGCGTCTTTTGTGTGAACATGCTGCATTTTAAAAATGTTTTCTGTGTTGGTTTTTGTTGTTTCAGGGGTGTAGCATGGGTGTGTGCGTGCCAGGGGGCTGTGGCCCTGGGTGCACAATTTTTGAGGGGGCATGATCCAAGCACACCCACGCATTCGCCCCCAGTGTGGCCTGGCCTGGTGCTCCTCTCTGCCTGCCAATGGCTGCGTTGGCTGGCTGGGCTTCCCCCTGCGTGGGCAGGCAGGTGGTTCAGTGCGGCCCTGCTATGCTCTGCTGGGGTCACTCCAGCGGCAGTGGTGGTAGAGAGGACTGGGCTGGCACCCCCCCCCAGCGTGAGTGCTCCTGCCCAGCGTGTGTGCACCTGCCTGCCCCAGGCACTGGCAACCACTGCTACACTGCTGGTTTGTTTTGCATTGATTTTAAATGTTGTGGTTTGCACACTGACACAGATATATTTATATGATGATAAGGTGCAGCGTAAAAAGATTGAGCTAACTTTTGGCTTGTGAAGGGAGAGTCAAAAGAGTTTTGGCTCTATGGAAATGCAGTAATCCCCCAAAGCAGCTGGGGCTTTCATTGCTAGACACTGGAAGAAGTCCAGTGTTACTACATTCATACTACATCTTGGTATCAAATGCCTTAGCAAAGCAGCACTTCTGGAAAGATCACAAACAAAATAATAAGAAGAAAAAATTGTGGGGGGGGGGGTAAAGAAGATGGTGGGACTTTGCTGATTTTGCCAAGAGAATGGATACAGGAAGAGCTCCTTCCTCAAGATCATTTGCATCTACAGATTCTGTAGTGAAGTAGCTATTGTTCCTCCTTCTTGTAACTGAAAATACAACAGGCACATGATTGAGAGATGTATTCACACAGGATTCTGTTTTGATTATGTTTGTGTTTCTATTGAGCTATGTATTTATCCACTTAAGCCTAGATTTCTTATTTTATATTTAGTAACACTGAATTTATTCTGTTTGCCACATTGTTCATTTTTGCCATTTTTAAATTTACTGTATTTTGTATACAGTATTTGTATTTCCAGTGCTCTGTATTTTGATGTTTCAAATGTTTACTGTAAGCTGCTTTGTGCACAGCCTGTTGTGGAAAAGCGTCATATAAGTAAACTCAATCAATCAAGCGGTGTGTGTCTCTCTCTCTCTGTGTGTGTGTGTGTGTGTGTGTGTGTGTGTTTGAAGAGTTTTTATTTCCCAGTTCTCCTCTGCTGGCTGTGCCTCTACGTTCCTCATACTGCTTGGGCATGAGGGCTGAACTGTGCGATATGCAAGGAGCTGCATGATCAGTTCTCCCAAGACTTTAACTTTAGAACAGCTGCAAAGGGTATGGATTTTGATCAGAGCAGCAGTGCTGTTAGAAACTGCCAGGGCCAAATCTGGGGAACCGCAGACTCCAAGTGCAACTGCCCTGTGTAGTGAACTCATGGAATTGCATTTTGGATTATTATCCTG